GTTAGCATAGAACTTGCGTTTGCATCTAGCCATTTCATTTGTATGAGTTAAGTTGAAAATGTTAAAATGCAATATGAACACACCTATTTCAGCTTGCACATATATTTAACTTTTTATTAAATTTATTTTTTCATAATTTGTTATTTAATATCATTTTTCAAAATTTATTTTTTTCAAATGCCTGCAGCTGTACGTCAGCTGACTTTCGAAGTAAGAAAATTTTGCTATCGAAAATTATGAAAACGTATATTCTTAGCAAAAAACTAACTTTTAAAATTCATTTCCCAAAAATTCATCCCACCTAGTCTTGATATAAACTTCATTTGGTTGAAATATAAACAATATTACAGTAAAGATGTAAATGTAAATATTATTGTAAAATACTGTGTATATATATATATATATATATATATATATATATATATATATATATATATATATATATATATATATATATTGAGAGTTTTGCGTGTGTTCGGCTTATATTTATTTGAATGCCAGATTGATTTATATAAGTACTAATATATATATATATATGATTATACGTGCAAGTAGATATGTAAATTTACATAAAAAATGGCATTCATATATGTAACTACCTATAAAATCATAGGTACACAAATCGTAGATACATACACTTAAATTCATATATATATATTTTTTGTGTGTATATATATATATATATATATATATATATATATATGTATGTGGGGTATGTATGTGTGTTTACATATATATATATTTGTGTACATATATCTGTATATATGTGTGTACATATATATATACATATATATGTATACGTATATATACGTAGATATCTGTATATATATATATGCATACAACATATATATATATACATATATATATATAATATATATATATCTGCGTACATATATATATATATCTGTATATGTATATATATATATATATATATATATGTGAATATATATATATATATACATATATATATGTACATATATTATATATATATATATATAAATATATATATATATATATATGTGTGTGTGTGTGTGTGTGTGTGTGTGTGTGTGTGTGTGTGTGTGTGTGTGTGATAACAACGATAATAAATCAGAGATTGTATTTCGCCTCATATCGATCGATCAAAGTAATTCTGGAAGATGACGTATTTAAGTCAAGCTGACTTTTTAATTAAAATACTCAATATCAAGAGAGAGCATTAATAATAATAATAATAATTGTTATTAAAGACCATAACCAAAAACTGTGCCTCCTTATTGACATGGCAGTCCCTGCTGACTGCAATCTATCTTTGAAGATATTCAAAAAGCTGTCAAAATACAAGGACCTTGAAATAGAAATCTCAAAAATGTGGCACATGGGAACATCAACAATCCCTGTTGTAGTTGGAGCCCTAGGACTGGTTGGAAAAGATTCCAGTAGACTAATTGAAGGGATTCCTGGAAGTCCATGCCTCAAGGAGATACAAAAATTGCTGACAAGTGCAGCCCACACTTTACGAAGAGTTTTATCTATGTATTTTTTTTTTTTTTTGTCAGTGGAAAGTGTCATGATGCCATTTCTAACCTTAGGTCCCTGGGCGGGACCCGGAAAGAAATGTCTAAACGCCAGAAATCAAAGGAAATAATAATAATAATAATAATAATAATAATAATATCCAACCGTCTGAGTATCCGATGTGGAATCTTCCAAGGAGACTCTCTGTCACCCCTTCTGTTTTGTTTATCCTTAATCCCTCTTACACATGAACTGAACAACAGTAGCTGTGGTTACAAAATAAATAAGAAAATATTCAATCACCTACTCTACATGGATGATCTCAAACTCTTTGCCAAAGACGACAATGAGTTGAAAGGCCTCCTCAATATTGTAAAATACTTCAGTGACGACATAGGTATGGACTTCGGATTAGATAAATGTGCAAAAGTAACTTTCAAGAAAGGTAGAATTACAGAAACACCCTTAATAGATTTAGATTTTGTCACAAAGATTAGGGAACTGGAGCATGGTGAAGCTTATAAGTACCTAGGAATTAGCGAAGGAGATGGCATACAACACCCCCAAATGAAGGAAAAAATAAGAAAAGAATACTACAGGCGTACTAAATACTGAGCTGAACTCAAAAAACAGGATATCAGCCATAAACACATTGGCTGTCCCTGTGGTGCAATACAGCTTTAATGTCCCTAACTGGACCATAGCTGAAATTAAGCGACTGGATGCCAAAACGAGAAAGCTACTCACTTGCTATCGCATGCATCATCCCAAAGCTGATGTCGACCGTCTGTATGTGCCCAGATCCGAAGGAGGCAGAGGATTAGTTCAACTAGAACTGTCCTACAAAACTACAACAATTGGCCTCCAAAGATATTTGGAAACTACAGAAGACTGGATGATGGTATGCGTCAAGGAACATGAAAGTAGTAAGCGTCTCTACTCCGTAATGAAGGAAGCCAACAAATTCAAAATGGAGTTCCAAATGGGCGTAGAGATGCAACTACAGCACAATACACCGGCTGAAACTGCAAAATACCTAAAAAAGATAGCTAAGACGAATGCAACAGACCAGTTACAGAAGCGATGGCAAGATAAACCGCTTCATGGCCAATACTCTGCCCGTACCAAACAAGCTGACGTAGACAAAACCCGTACCCATCAGTGGCTACTACGTAGTGCAGGGTTGAAAGCGGAAACTGAAGGTTTTATCCTTGCTGCGCAGGACCAATGCTTGCTAACTAGGAATTATCAAGCACATATACTAAAATATTGTGTCAGCCCAAAATGCAGATTCTGTGATAAATATCCAGAAACGATTGATCATCTTGTATCAGGTTGTACGGTGTTGGCACCCACTGAATATAAAACCCGACATGACAGAGTGGGCCAATATCTGCACTGGAAAATCTGCAACTTCTACGGGAAGAAAACTGAAAGAAACTGGTATGAACACCACCCAGACCCGGTTACGGAGATGGGACCTGTTACAATTCTATGGGACTACACAATACACACTGACAGAACAATCAAACCCAACCGCCCAGATATTGTTATTAAAGACCACAAACAAAAAACGGTGCCTCCTTATTGATATGGCAGTCCCTGCTGACTGCAATGTATCTTTGAAGATATTCAAAAAAGTTGTCAAAGTACAAGGACCTTGAAATAGAAATCGCGAAAATGTGGCATATGGGGAACATCAACAATCCCTGTTGTAGTTGGAGCCCTAGGACTGGTTGAAAAAAAGATTCCAGTAGACTAATTGAAGGGATTCCTGGAAGTCCATGCCTCAAGGAGATACAGAAAATTGTTCTGACAAGTATAGCCCACACCTTACGAAGGGCTTTATCTATGTAATCTTTTTTTTTTTTGTCAGTGGAAAGTGTCATGACGCCATTTCTAACCTTAGGTCCCTAGGCGGGACCCGGAAAGAAATGTAAACGCCAGAAATCAAAGAAAATAAAAATAAAAATAATAATAATAAATAAATAAATAAATAAATTTGTTCACTTAGCTGTTGAATTTCTCTCGGCTGAATTTCATGGAATTCACTCTTCAAGAATCTTGATGTCATCCATTCTCCTGAAGATTGGATATGACTCCATGAAACTCTATCACGAAATCATATCCACCCTATATCCCATATATAACGCCCATGGTAAATGTGAAAATAATAATTTATTCAATGATATGAGATATTGTCTTAATGAAATTTGTGTTTCTTTGTCGTATATCTTTTAGATTTCATTATAAACATAATTACGTTGCACTTAGCTTATGCGTATTAAAAAAAAAACAAAAAACAACTGACATCTCCAAAACAAGCTACTACCAATATTTTTAATATGGATATATATATTATAATCCGAATCTCTCACGGTAGAAGTGCATCTTTATCCATTTTCTTTTGTTTGTACCGTTTATTCATATCCTCGGAAAAAAGATACCTATCTTGTTCTGAGGATGATGTAAATAAACATTGAAATATTCATGAGATACATAAAAATATTTCAGGCATCCGATTATACATGTACATTTTTTCTTTGAAAATCATCGATTATTTATATGTATGTTCTTCGGAGTTATCTTAATTCTTTTACGATACAGGTTTCCTTGTTTCATAATATATGTATGAGACAGCGAAAAAAATAAAGAAAGAAAAAAAGAAAGAAAGAAAGAAAGAAAGCATGTGCGGAGAGGTAAGTGTGTAAATATATATATATAGTTCGTAGCTAACCATTAAAGATAGATAAAATGACATTATAGAAACGCTGGGTGGGTGATCTACATTATCTTATGCGTATCTAGTGGAAACCATTTTGATTTCAAAATAGATCAATTTCTTCTCGGGATCAAACCAATGAATGTAAATTGTACCTGTAATAAATCTTCATGTCGAAATAACGGATAGACGACCAAACACAAGGTCACGGCATAAAGCATAAATAACTGTTTCCTCTGAACATTTTTGGAAGACTTGGTCTTTTCCCTTGATAAGGATGTGTCCATGGTCAAGTGAAAGACAGTGATCAACAACTGTTAGCGGGCTGGGGGCTAGAAGAGGAAGACAGTGCCGTTTGGTAAAAACATGCGATTAAGGGAATAAAGCTTTGAAGATTTCCGCTCAAAGCGAACGGATCAAGACAAGCCAGTATCAAAGGCGGGTGAGAACAAAGGGAAATAACTTGAACGATAATTATGATGAACATAGCCACGCAGCGAGATTGCGCAAGGACACAGTGTCAAAGGTGGACAATAACAGGACGCAACTGATGAGCTGGAAGAAAGAGTTCTACAGATATTAGACGAGTTGGAAAGCAAAACCGCGAGAAAGAATTAAAAAGAAACTGAGAGAAAAACAATAAAAATGAATCAATTCATCATTTAATAAAAATGGGGTCGATAAAGAAAGGATGAATAAATGGAATAACAGATGATAAAACGAATCCTTAAAGAAAGAACAAGAAAACTTTAAAAAGGAAAAGAGAAAGAACAGTGAATGGTTAAAGAAAGAAAGAAAGAAAGAAAGAAAGAAAGAAAGAAAGAAAGAAAGAAATAGAAAAAAAAACAAAGATGGCGGCAGGTGGGAGTGGATTAAAAAAGGTGCGTAATGGACGAAGAGGAACCATCGAGGCTCGCTCAACACAAAGAAAGAAAGAAAGAAAGAAAGAAAGAAAGAAAGAAAGAAAGAAAGAAAGAAAGAAAGAAAGAAAGAAAGAATTAATTAATGGAAAGAAAGGGAAAAGAACGGAATACTAAGGAAAAAAAAGAAAGAAAAATAGAACAAAAAGAAAATGAACGAAAGAATTACAGAAAGAAAGGGCGAGGAAAAGAAATTAATGCGAATGAAAACAATGAAAGAATAATAAAAACAAATGAAACACATAAAAAGCAGAAGAATAAAAGAAAAACTGATCGAATGAATGAATCAATGAAAGGCGAAGAAAAATATACTTAGAATAAATGAATGTTGTGCAGAAGAAATGAAAAATGAATTCAGAAAGAAAGAAATACAAAAGAAAGAAAGAAATGTTTAAAATATGTTGAAAGAAAGAAAGAAAGAAAGAAAGAAAGAAAGAAAGAAAGAAAGGGGATAGTAAAATTGCCATTTTCTCAAGTGAAGATGACTTATTTTCATTGAAAGATGATACTGGAGAATCTCGATTTTTATCTGGGTTCGAGCACTGACTCGAGTTGCCTAAACAAAGTACGTAACCATTTCTGTAAAAAAGCAGGCCCATAGATAAATATTAAACATTATATCAGCACCAGATGATCAAAACAGACCGAGCTTAATATGTATCAAACGTGTATTTTCGTTTTAACTGACCTTTACTTTCAAAAGATTATTTCATGTTACATATCTAAAGATTATATATATATATATATATATATATATATATATATATATATATATATATATATATATATATATGTATGTATATATAATGCCTTTACTAATAGCGTTAGTGCGAAAACAACATAAGCCTGAATTTTAACTGCTTGCTTTGTCTCCTTTGCTTTGTCTACCCCCCATTATGTTGTCTTCGCACTAACCCTATTAGTAAAGGCATTAAATCTATCTCTTCTCACCCAACCCCCAACTATGGGTAAAATAGCGATGCTGACTAGGTACTCTAGCAATCAGTCTAGGCGAAGGATAACTCTGAATTCAAAATCGTGGGGAACTTGTTAATATGCCCAATATAGTTGTATATGCACAGACAACACAAAGTGCAGAAGAAGAAATGGAAAATGTTTACTGTAAGCTAGACAATGCCAAGGCTCAATACAAATCGCAAGAAACGACAATGGTCATAGAAGACCTGAATGCCAAAGTAGGCAAGGAGAGAGATGATGAAATATTTGCCAAATTCGGAGTAGGAACACGTAGTGAACACCGTGAAAAACGAATCCAATCGTGACTCGAATTTTCCAGATGATGTTTTGGCTTTGTACGAATCATGTGGTATTGGGCAAAACTATCTCTAGTGCAGCCTATTCTACGTTCAATTTCCTTTTTTCCTATTGTAAATTTATTATAACTGATCCATACGCGGAGGTATCTAAAGTGTTTAGTATTTCCTAATTCCGCATCTTAATGGATATGAGAATTTCTCAGTTGATGTAGTCATAGGCTGCTGTGAGGTCAAGAGTTTCCTATAAGAAAATAAGCAATTCCTTGTAGTTGTTTGATAACATAATGGACACTACTGCATCCCTACCTAAAACGAAAATATAACTGGGTCGTGAGATAAATTCATTTACAATATGATGAACAAATATCGACCAACATAATAAAATCCAAGGACAGATGAGTAATCGTAATTCTTTCTTAGATTAATGCTTAAAAATGTCTTAGAGCGGATGAAGCCTGTAGGTGTCAGCGAGGACCATACTTTTTCGTAGATCATGGTCTGGCGCTACGGAATCACAAACAAAGAACTTTACCAAACAACAGAAACCAGACCACTTGAAGACTTTAAGTAGCAGTCAGTTATGTGCCATGCATGTTACACGCTTAGACGATCATGTATCTTTCGATACATGACTGACGAGGCAGTAGTGTCAGTTATGTGCCATGCGTGATACACGCTTAGATGATCATGAATCTTTCGATACATGACTGACGAGGTAGATTTTTTTTTCCGTAGTCGGTTGACATTTCTTTCTGCGGTAGACCAATTGCCATCCAAGGCTATAGAACACGGTCTGTCTGCTATTTACCCATAGTTGGTGGGGTAGAAGAAGAGGATTCATACCTTTCTCAAATGTATTAGCACGTAAGTGAATGTAATGGATTCGAATGGAATTCGAACTCGGCTCTCTGATAGCAGTAAGAACCAAAATGGAAAGTACGTGTAACTCGAATTGAAAATAATGACATAACCAAGATGTTGACATTCCATACTACTTCAAACAAAAAGTTAGGAAGGAAACTCCCATCTGTATTAGAATGAGCAATTGCAGTGGACTTGAGAAACCTATTTTTAAGAAAAATTGTTTTAATAGAAAAATTTTATACATTTCAACCGAAAGTAACACTAGCTGCTTGAGCAGTGCATCCTGAATGTTTCCTTATAAGGAAACGGCTAACACCATTATCATATTTTGAAATTTATAGTCTTTTTTATAATGGGAATATATCTTTAGTAGCATCATTTCGTTAATACCAGTTTTACTGTACAATCACCAAGGACGGGGCTTATTAACCCCGAAGCCCCCGACCAAAGGAGGAAGCCTGAATGGGGTCCCCGGGCAGTGCTTTGTGACCCTCGTTATCTTATTGACATTTGTGTTTTTCTACCTACATTTATAGACGTTATGCATTAAACTAAGCACAACTGACTTTTAAAGGATGAATAATTTTCGCGTCATTCTGGGGTCTTTTTTTATTTTGTCGACATCTGTGAATTTGTTTTGCTTATGGTATGTCTGGAAAAAAAAAACAATATAAATTCACTATTTTTTATCCATAATGTTGAATGTGTTAGAATTATTCAACTTTTTAAAAAGAAAAATCTCAAGTTGACGTTTAAAAATTGCCGCAAAACATTGTTCATTTATTTAAGATGGAACGATCTATTATGGCATGTCTTCAATTTTTCTTTAGATACATTGCATTTATTTCCAATTTTCTTAGTTGAATTGTTCACCTATATTGCATATGATCAATTCTTGTACATAATTAGGTTACAATAAAATATGTATTTTGCATGAATACTGCCTTATGAAAAGTGAGATGTTGTAGAGTTGGGTGTGTATCATAGATTCGGGGGATGGGCACGAGAGACCCTTGCATCAACCCTGACAAACAGTGACTTACATAATGTAACCTTAAGCAGTAAAAGTGTGCATTAGTACGGAACACAGTCAGATAGGAAAAGTAATGATTTTAGTGTTATGTAATCTTTCAAAAGGGGACACCATCAGAATTCGAAATCCTATCTTTCTACCTTGATTCAATTCCTGAAATAAGTAACTATTTAAAATACAATGCAGCCACCACGCCAACCACCCCCTCACACACACACTGTGTAAGAGAGATGGTGAGACTGACTGCGGGATACTATAGGAGAAAGGGAAGAACGTGTGTGTGTGTGTGTGTGTGTGTGTGTGTGTGTGTGTGTGTGTGTGTGTGTGTGTGTGTGGTATATTTGAAAATATTTCCGCTTGAATTAAACTTCGATCTAAATCGTGATTGACTGGTAATCATTTCCAATTGGTGCAGATCAAAGTGAGAAGCCGTTCGTATTGGTTGGCGCCGGGCTGGATGGCACGCCTGAATTTGTTGTATTCTTTGGTTGTGTGCGTGTTTATATCCAACAAAATTCAAATACCAGTTTTTCCCAGTGCCATTTTCACCTAATTCTGCCTTTCTGTCTCTCCATTTCCTTCCTATATCCTTCCTTCCTTCCTTCCGCGCGCACACACACACACACTGTGATTATTTTCGTAAGTTTCATTCTCCCCAACCTACCTCTTATCTCTCTATCTCTCTCCCCCCCTCTCTCTCTCTCTGTGTATATATATATTTTTATTTTTTTATATATATATATATATATATATATATATATATATAAATGTAGGTATGTATGTATATAACTGAAGCCTCTTGACGAGTGAACTGAACAATTACAAAGAGTTCATCTACAAAACTCCAGAGTTGAGGTGCTGAATATAACATCAATCAGCTTAGTGACAAATTTTATATTTGTATTAATCCTACATACACACACACACACACACACACACATATATATATATATATATATATATATATATATATATATATATATATATATATATAATGGGTTGTTTGAAAAGTATTTCACCGCTATGAATTATAAGCCAACCAACCAAGACAGAACTAAGCTGGAATGGTAGGAAATTGTGTCTAGAATTAATTTATCATTTCTTCTATCCGACAATGTGACGTTTATAGTGCATTTAGGTGTTTAATTGGGAAATAAATTCTCGCATGAGACCCCAGCACAACGTTCCAGTATTGCAGCAAGTCTTTTAAGCAAGAATCTCTAACTTTTTGGTATCAAGCTGGATTTGCGTGCCAACGGAAAATGAAAAGGACAGTCGTTATCACAAAATGACAAACCAGTGCCATCACCAAAACCAGGACGTCATCCACAGAATGCCTTACTTTGTGTCTAGTAGCATATGAAAAGTTTCGTCTATTATGAGGAGGAGTATAGAACGACAGCAGATATTTAGTGCCAGCAACATGGACGTGTAAACGAAAAATTACGTTGAAAAGTTTGATAAGCAGAAAGCGATACGTGGCCCAATGATAAAAGCGTTGGTTGAGTAATCCAAAAAGTGACTCGATTCAAAGTGTTGTGAGTTCAATACCTGGCCACAGCAGAAGGAACAAAACCTTTTATGTGTTTTTAGTAGGCTCTAGATTTGGAATATGTTTGAAAAGTCCACAGGACTCATTCCAGAAAATATGTATAGGTACATATATAGGTATGAAGAAAAATATACGGGAAAAACCAACAAAAATCCTAATATGCAATTATGCTGTTTTAATGTTAATATAATGTCAACGTCGGACGTTTCGGTCTAGTAGACCCTCTTCAGGACATATTCATAAAACATAATTAACATTAGACTATATTTAATTCAACATGAAAAGACGATGGACATAAGAGTAAGACTAATCAAAACAGACAACTGAAATTTTTCAAGAACGCTGAAATATATTTGCTTATATATAGGTATATATATAGGTATATCTTTTAACCTTAAAAGGAAAAATGTTTGTAACAGGATAATATATCTTATAAATATGTTCATTGTATGAAAGGATCGTAGAAAAAATAGAATTTTCTTCTTTTATTTGCCGTCTCCCTTCAGGACATACGCGATCATGGCCCTCCACATCTTCCTGTCCCTTGTAGCTCTTAATATGTTTTATCTTTTTGTTATTTCTCCCAGACCCTGTTCCACCATCCATTTTCTCAAATTACTAAAGCTTGAGTTACTAAAGGCAATTAACTGATATTGTGATACCCAAAACGTCATGGCCCGTGGAATTTTCCACCCGGAAAAAGAACCAGCAATTTTGGTACTTTATAATATATATATATATATATATATATATATATATATATATATATATATATATATATATGTGTGTGTGTGTGTGTGTGTGTGTTTGTATTGTGTGGAAATTGCTATATTTATACGGCAAGAGAGATCACTGGCGGAAATAGATTTTTATATAGACATTGCGGACATAGAAGTCAACACTATGTGGTAACTTTTAGTTTAACGCTTCAATGCGATCTCCAGGCGAAGTTAGATATTCCTATGCATATATACATGCACATATATATGTGTATGTATGTACGCACAAACACATATAGAGAGAGAGAGAGAAAGGAAGAGAGAGAGAGAATTAAACAAATTTTACTAAATCCAGTTGGCTAGTGTGTGTTGTTATGCGTCTTTCGATACATGACTGACGAGACAGATTTTTTCCCGCTGTAGCTTGCTATTTCTTTCTGCTGTAGACCAGTTGCCATCCAAGGCTATAGAACCTGGTCTGTCCTGCTATTTTACTCATAGCTAGGGGGAGAAGAAGAGGATTCATACCTTTCCCAATGGTATTAGCACGATTGGAATTCGAACTCGGCTCTCCGATTCCTCAATCCAAGCCGCTATCCACTACACCACCATACCTCATCCTTGTTACGCAGACAGATCAGTATAATGGATAAACTGTCTAACGTTTCTGATTTGATACTCATCCTGGTTTAGTTCTTGATAATGACCGAAACGTTTGAAATTACTGCCAACTTGATCTTTGATAGTTATCCACTATTTTGATACGGATGGAGCACCTCGGCGTGGTGTAATGTTTGGCAAGCTTGTCTCGCTAAAATTGCTACGACTGAATAGTGAGCTCGATCCTCATCAGGTGTTCCACACTCTCCGACGTGTACCACATCTAAGTTACGCTTAGAAACTCATTGCCACAATTTTGTAATCTTACATAATAAATTGATCCGGATGTGCAATAACTTAATAGAAAACTAAAAAAAAAAATACCGTAAAAGGATGAAAAAGACAAACAAGGTTTATTAAATTTAATTAATCGAACAAAAAAGACTCATTAATTCAACCGAGAGAACTTGTCGGCTGAATTTGATAAATCCTGTACGCGCGTGCGCACCCCCCAAAAAAACACACACGCACATACGTATATGCATAGAGAGAGCGACAGACAGACAGACAAGCAGAAAGAAAGAATGAAAAAAAGAAAGGAAGAAAAAGAAAGAAAAAAGAAAGAAAGAAAAAAAAGAAAGAAAAAGAAAGAAAAAAGAAAGAAAGAAAAAAGAAAGAGACAGAGGAGGTGGTAGACAACTGACTAACATCTGACGCGTCATCCGTGCTACTAAAATGTCCAGAACATTTTCATTCCGGCTCTGCTCTTTGACCAAATAATACAAATAGTTTTATTGAATTATGTAAAATATGAGAGTCTGCCGAAAATTTGAATCAAGTTTTACATGACCGTGAAAAGGGTAAAAACCTATACCGATTTTTTTTTGTTTTTTTTTTTGTTTTTTGTAGATAAGTAGATAAGCCCGTGTCGTTCTGTCCTGACCGCGTATGTTTCAGTTTCATATGTACCACAAATCATTTGCCTACGAAAATTCTGCACTCTTCCTTTCAAATTTGAATTCGAAACTAAATCAGCAGAGAAAAATTAAAAAAAAAAAAACCTTTAGCATCTGTATAGGAAGGTGTATGGGCTCTACTTAAATAAACTGGTCCACTATTATAAAAATTGGCAAAAAATATTTTTTGAAAATATTTTTTTGACAATGAGCTTCTTCAGGCCTCGACATTTGTAACAATTGAAAAATATTGATATTATTCATCGATTTAGGTGGGGATCGTGTTTACAAATCGATCCTTCATTTTTACAGTCATTGGGCTTAACTGGTTTGCGTATGAAAGCAGACAATTTTTGGAGATATTACAAAAAGATTTCTTTAAAATAACGAACAAATATTTTTAATTAAAGAACAAAAAATTACATTGACAACGTACCGAACTTGTGTAAATGGATCACTTCCAAAAAGTCTCGTTATATTCGAGACTTCGTAGATGCCGGTACTAGTAGTAACGCACTCAGTAATACTTGTTCAAGTAGTAATCGCCAAATAATATAATGATCAGAAGAGACGCGTAATCCGTATAGTAGTAGAGAGAGTGAACGTATAGCAATGGTGGATAGACAAAAAGGAGTGAACAGTGATTGTATATTCATCACGCTGCTTCCTATTTTTTCACTTCCATTATGATCACGTGATCTATTTAATAATTGAATCGCCCGTGTTGCTCACTGGCGATCTAGTTTCAAACCATAGTGTCGGCAACGTAATTTACTCTTATACAACACTCTATCACTCAGGTACCTCGACTTCACAACTTTAAGCGCAGTACTCGATTTGCAGTCTGTCCTTTTATTGTCCTCTCGGGTTCTACTCCTCTCAGTAACACCTACCATCTTTAATTGCCTTGGGGTGAAATGATTGAAAAGAAGGATGGCAGAAAAGGGAATGAGTAGGCTAGAAAGCGGCAAATATAGCTTAGAGCTACAAAGATAGGAAGTTGTGGAGAACCATGATCGCCCACCCATCGGAAGGTATTATGGTGTTGGTAAACTTAAACAGAATTACAAGCCACATTTGTGGAGATATTTGTGAGAAAGATATTTCTAAAAAAATTACTCCCACCTAAACATACACCTACACGCCACAGTTAGTGTAAGCCAAGTAAACGGCTTTCAGTGATCGTAAGGATTAATATATATATATATATATATATATATATATATATATATATATATATATATTCACTTACGTGTTAGGGAAAGGTGTGAATCCTCTTCTTCTCACAACTGGGTTCTATAGCCTTGGATGGCAACTGGTCTAGGAGAAGGACAACTCTGAATTCAAAACCTGCGGAGGGTCGTTTGGGGACCTTGTGGCATGTAGTGCACCAGGTCTCTGTACTCGACCCTTCAAAAAGTGTGGATGGTCCTGCACGAAACCTTCACCACTATAATCAAATCTCATGTGCTGTTGTTGGGCTGTCTGTTTCCTAGGAACCGATCTGCTTGGCCCTCAAAAGTCGAATTCGACGGGAGAGTCGAGTATATATATTTATGTATATATATATATATTCAAACAGGTTTGGTTAAATAATTTAGACATAGCATGTCGATTTATTTTGGTTGTGATCCTTTCAAGTTCACTGATTAATTTCTTAGTAGCCTTAGAAAATTGATTAAGAAAAATACCAAAATTTTCTTTCAAATAATTTTTATTTTTCCAAGTACTTTTAATCTCATCGTCGAGGGATTAGATGATACTGAAAATATTTGGGAAAATAAAAAATAATCCGTTAACCTCTTGAAAAATCACATATATATATATATATATATATATATATATATATATATATATATATGTGTGTGTGTGTGTGTATGTGTGTGTGTGTGTGTGTATAAATATCTATATACAGATATCTATATATGTATGTACATATATATATATATATATATATATATATATATATATATATATATACCCAAGTATAGGATTGGTGTAGACGGAATAAATTCCAATAACCAACAAATACTATACAAAGAGTGCTCAATACAGAGTAGAGCAAATATAATCATTTATTCGAAAATTAGAGCCTGAAAATGTCATAAAATCACTACAAAAATAGCCATTTTGTTTCAACACTTCTGGTGTCTTATCAAGTGGTGGTGTTGAATGTAGAATAAAAGGTTTTAAAAGGTTCAAATCAATCAAACACCCCTCGATAGGGGAAATGCTGTTACATAAGCTGGAATGACCAATCAAAATACAAGTATGCGAGAATTAAAAAAACTTGACAACGAACAAATATATATATATATTTTCGATTGAGCCAGAGTTACTAGTGTCTTGCGTGGGTAGTGTAACGTTCATAGGTTCAGAAATTGAAATCGTCGAACCAAGTTCAATTTCCACGTAGCCTGTTGCATTCACTTTCGCACAACTGCCTTTGGGAATACCATGAATTTCTTTCTTCCCCCACCCGGCTCAGCTATTAGTCAAATATCAGGGTAGGCTGAGCTACTTCTTCTTAATTGGCAACCAGTCCACGAGAATGAAATTTTGAATCCCAACCTGGGGAGAAGGCAACAGGAAAACACTATCTCCCCCACAAAAAAAAAAAAATGGCATAGAAATTCGCAGATAATAAAGAAGAGGAATCTGTGGAGAGTCATGATCGACTATGCACTGAAGGGATATGGCTTTAAGAAAAAAAATACCACTGCCGATTTTAAGAGTTAATAGTAAGTGTAAACGAGCGAAAATAAAACAGAAACTGAAATACGAACAAGAAAGGAGGCAAAACAATTTGCAAAGGAAAGGGAATACTGTGTTTGCAATTCAAAAAAAATGAACTAAAATCCACTCGTCAACGAAGGAGTAATGATTACAATGAAGTGATTAAAAACAACTTTTAACTAAACAAGAAACACATGTAGGCGCGTAGCTGTCTTATTAAATAAGTAATAACATCTGTGTTTCAGAAGTCTTGTAATACGAGAAATAGTTCTCTTTTATTTTTATTTTTCTCTCCATCTCCCCCCGACCTCCGATATCCCCCGCTCCCTCATCTACCACTCCTGGACAATTCTTCTCACCTTTGTTGCAATGCCTTGGACAGCGTCTTGGAGACGAAAATCATTACTGAGCCATATAAATGACCTCGCTGATATAGTTTCAGTTTATAAAAATCTAGTCGTCCTGAGTATGACGATAAGCTACATCCGACAGTAAGGCCTTCTGACCGGGATATTGGAGGTTTTGTGGAGCATGGGACCACTTCTTAATTGCTGCTCTTCCCAGATTCAATGAATATACAAAAATAGAAAGAGGCGTAAGGCAAGGATGCGTCTTCTCAGCCGACCTGTTCAAGCTATACAGCGAGACAATTCTGAGAGAATTGGAAACCCTACCGGGATTTAGCATTGGTGGCCAAAATCTTAACAACATAAGATACGCAGATGACACAGTACTGATAGCAGACACGGAAAAGAAATTACAAAATCTCCTACAGAAGGTAGCGACGGAGAGGGAAAAGAAAGGACTAAGCATAAACTACAAGAAAACGGAGTGTATGGTCATCAGTAAAAGGATGAGTCCGGAATGCGATGTGCAGGTCGGGAATACTAGAATCAAACAGACGCGGAAGTTTAAATATCTGGGAAGCGTCTTGATGGAGGACGGTAAGTGCGACACTGAGATTCGTAGACGTATTGGGATGGCCAAGGACACATTCCAAAAGTTGGGCAGAGTATTGCAAGACAGCAGGATTTCTTTGGTAACAAAGAATACTGAGCTGTTACGTGACATCAGTCCTTCTTTACGGCAGCGAATGTTGAACGATTTCCTGAAAGATGAAGCAGAGACCCGAGGCGACGGAGATGTGGTTCTACAGAAGGATGCTAAGGATATCATGGACCGAGCGTGTGAGCAACGATGATGTCTTAGAGAAGATGCAAACAAGGAGGAGGCTTATACTTAACATCAGGAAGAGGAAGCAGAAGTTTCTGGGATGCATAATGAGGAAAGACCTGTAGAATCTGATTTCTCACGGGTCGAATAGAGGGAAAGAGAGACAAAGGAAAACAGCGCATGACATACCTAGAGGCCTTAAGCAAGTGGATGATAGAACGTGGTCTGGGGGAGGTAGCAGAGGGAATGAACTTGTTGCGAGTTTCAAGGGATAGAGGGAGGTGGAGAGTCATGAATAGTAGCAAGTTTAATTTTATGCACTTTGGAAAATAGCGAAAGTAACTCGTCGGAGCAGTTACCGTGAAGGTATTTGGAGAAAAGACAGAGAGAAGTCTCTGGATTTTGTCGAGGACCTTAAGATGAACAGCAGGGGCTCCACACCATATATGGCAGCATTATTCCATGCAAGGGTGAATGGTTAATTTATAGATTAGAAGGATGGACTCGGGCGAGAAAAACTTTCTGGCGCGACACAGAGAACCAACTTTCCTTGCAGTAGATGAAGCTATTGATTCAATGTATTTGTTCCATCACAGGTCAGTGAACAGTGTGATACCAAGCAGTCGCAGAAAGTTGCTCTCATGGGTAGCATTTATAGAACAACAGTTGGATCAGTTACCAATCCATTACTCTATTCTCTGTCTCCTATTGTGACATGCCAGTAACATGACATGTTTGTTTTTCAATACAGCTGGCTATGAGACAGAGTGCAGGGAGAAGTGAATCATTAACAGTTCTATGACCGGTTGTGATCGTAGCTGAGCACCTTCCTGCTCCTGTCACGG